CTGCTGAACATCAGACATTATTTTGATAACACTTAAGTACAACTCTTTTTTTAATTAAATGGTTCTCATGAATCATAGATGAAGAGGACATGCAAGCAAATGAACAGGAAGCATATATAGTGAATTAACTGCCAGATCAAAAACATTAGTTCCTAACCAGAAGAATTATGCCTCTGGCCTTCCCGTTATTACACACTACACATTTAACTGGTTCCAGCGTTCCAGTCATACAAAGCATGACTGAATAAACTTTCCCCTACAGATCTTTCTCAGGTCTCATTATCTTAAAATTTCAGTTCCTTTCCCACCCTATTCAGGGAAAGAAGGGAAGGGTCAGGGGGCAGGGAGTTAACTGAATTTCAGTCTGAAGATTTTATACCTTTTCAAGAGCCACCAAACAATCCTGAATATTACTTTTCCCTGGAATTAGGACATTTTGGTTAATATCCAGCACATTAATATCCACAATAATCCTGATAAATTATCTAGGTTTGCTTTCCCTTATACTGAAATCTTTAGCATTCTATTACTTCACTCAGTCGTGCATAGAAAAAAAAGGCAAATGTCATTAAGGTCCTTTTCCAAAACCCAAGAAACTGAAAAAGGACAGGAAGTAACTGCAATACAATAACAACTTAAGAGGATGTTGGTTAGTTGAGGCTCCCCAATCCTACTGAATTGAAAAGAAAAAAAGACCTTGCCAAAGTTGCATCACAAGCCCTCTCACATATCCCGGCCCTTTCCAGACTGCCTGTGTATACCCTGGCCCTCCACTCCATGCTTTCTCCACCCTATCCATAAGGGAAAAAAGCAAATTCCACTACACTGCATGTAAGGAAGTGAAACATGACTTTCTGGAAGAGCTCTGTCATGTCTTATGTTCAGTATGCTGTACTGTTAAGCACCCACAAAAAGCTCTGGCAATTTATTTCACAGCCAAATCAAATGTCTTCAAAGAATTACTAACTCATAGAACTGTTTGCTCAGCAATGTGTAAAACGGAAACGTTAAGGAAAAGAGTCTGGCATTTCTTCTACTGTTTTGTTTCACAGGTGAAGATTTTCAAATTCTGACATCCAGATCTGCAAATGGACTGAATTCTAAAATTCATGCTGAAAACACAACAGGTTCCCTTCACAAGAATAATACTGACTATCTGCCCTATTTTTTTATTTGATAGAACAAAATTCTGCTACATGCTAAAATTAAGGTTTTACTTCAAGAATTAAACAAAGGAAGAACCTGCAAGAACATCTGTTGACTGCTGTCCTGCAGTCACAGCTAGCACTTCCACTAAAACTGTTAAAACGTCTTGTATCCTAAAAGATTACACTTTTCTCCAAGAATATTACTATGCTAGAATACTTCATTCGTGGATAACCACCAGTTTATACGATTTCTTTACGGAGCATCTCCAGCACACTTTTTTCCTTGTTAAACACTGTGGGATGCTACAGAGTGAGAAGTTGTCTGAACGCACGTCAATGATCTTTGGTATGCCTGTATTCCTCTTTAAACAGCTGTTACTCTTGTTTAATTGGGGTGCTCTTACTTAGCGTTTAAAAAAATAATGAAAAAAAGAGCATTTAAAATCATGCTTGCTGCTCTTCCCAATGCATTTTACATCCAGCAATGTAATAACATTCAACAGCAAGATTTCTCTGAAATACCAAGTTCCTAGAAGTTTTTCATAAAGAGCTGGCAAGATAAAGATTACCAATTAATGCCTGAATAAAAGGAAGTGCTTCATATAATACTTTCCATCCCTAGCAGACAGGGCAGCAGGACATGCAGTGAACACTCTCACCACAGGAAAATCCCAATGGAGGCACAATATCTTCCACATCAAAGAAGTGACTTTTCAAATTATGCTACCCCCTCACAGGTTCCCTGAGAGATAGTAAGATGCAGAGTCCAGCTAGGAGTCTTCCCAAGGCAAAAGTATTCATAACTTTGGCCTACCCTGTCAAAGCTGCAAGGAACAAAAGGTGAAGTTATACTGCAGCTTTCATGTAGCTTAGTTGATGAGGCAGATGACAGAACTCCCAAGGAAGCCAGGTTTTATCTACTGCCATCAAATAAAGCCTTGCTATTTCTCTTAGGCATCCAAGAGGCATTGATAAATAATTTCCTTCTGTGACTTGGAATAATTTATCATAATTTTTAAAAAATATATCCAAAACTTAAGAGCACCATTTGTTTCATCAATCTCTAGCATTATTTACAATTTTTTTTTAATGACTGTAGGATTCAAGCAGTACAGAATAATAATTCAGTTCAATCTTCGAGCTATGCACTTTTATTTGTATAAAATTCAGGATTTTGAAACTGTTTACCCAGTTTATTTCCCCAATTTACATTCAAACATGGCAAGTGAAAACAAACCATGATGCTGAGAAATAGAATAAAATGGAAATAATTAAAACCAAAATATTTACACAATTTCAAGCAATTGTTCTAATATACATCACAAAGAAAAATGAGTTTGAAGAAAGAAATAATATTCTGAAAGATATCTTAAGTTCTTTCTTACCATTGACTTTCCCTAAGCCTGGAGCTTTATTTTTCAGTAAAGTCACTTGAATCTGGGGAATATTTGTGATGTTTGAGTTCAAAACAAATTTGAAGTCCACATGTCCAACCATACAGGCTTTTGGTAGAACCAGTTCAAAGACATGCTCATCCCAACTGTTGCTGTCAAGAAAAAAGACAACAATGACACAGTGTTAAGAGAATATTAAGATTAGGCAGACAGGCAGCATTATCAAGTGCATTCTACTTCTATGCACGCTTTCTTTAAGACTAAGAAAAATTCATTGTGCATTAGTTGACATCCACATGAATTTCTGAAGCAAAGGTCTTTCAGGCTGCAGTTAGCCACATTCATTTTGTGAAGAACATGTTAGAAGCCAACTGGTAAGAGAGGGCAAATCAATGTTCAGATAAAAGTAGCAGTGAAAAGATTCACTGCCTGCATTACAGTACTATTTCTATATTACTATAAATACCTGTTGCTCATTTCTAGAAAAATATGAACAAAAACAGTCACTAAAAAAGGATCTACCAATCACTGAAGTGTATGAAAGCATGATAGTAACTACCTCACAACCTCTTAAGTTGGCTTTCTCCATTGTAAGTGTTAAGCAATGTTGCTTCCCATGGTACACCAGCCACATCCAGGAAATTCAAAGTACTAGTTTCAAATGGTTTAAATTTTTAAATACACTTGATAATTTATACAGGATGAAAAATGCTTCTTACCAAGTGCACACACAGAAGCCTGTGCTATGCAAAATAGGTGCAACTCTCTTTTAATGAATCATATTTTCCTTTTGAAGTCAACTTTAGTTTACACTGAAAATGTATAAACTTCAGATAGTAACTACCCCTCAACAATCAGTTCCATAGTTTGATACACTGAAGTTTGCAAAAAATAGTTCAAAACAAAGAGCAATTCCAATAAAACTAATCATGAGTCATCACATTTGTATACATTTTTAAAATAACTGCACTTCCTGATCTTCTCAATTTATCAGTAAATAATTTTTTTAATGTAGTAACTTTGACAGCCTGCGATTACTTAATTGTGTCATTTACAACACTAAGAAACTGAGTATGCTGCTATAAATATTGGTTAAATGCTTTTCTAACATCTAAATTTCAAAAAGGTATTTTAAGTCAAACAACATGCTACACAGAGTGTTGTGCAGAAAACCATTTTAAAATAGATTACGGATTGGTACAAATATATTTAATTCTTTGCATTTTTTACAGTAATATCCCTGAAAGTCATACCTCCCTCAGGCAAGTATAATACATTTATAACAGATTCCAAATATGCATAGTGAAATGGCACACCAGCCTTCCAGAAAACAGAGCAACAGAGAAAAGCAGTGATTTTGGGTAGAATGATGGACAGAAGAAAAGGTGGATAGAAGAGAACTTGTGGTTATGACTTAAGAAGCAACAGTGAAGAATTTTCAGTTAACTGTACAAATAACTCAAGTAAATAAAATATAATGAGAATTTATCCTACAACTCCAGGGAAAAAAAAAACTCTTGTTAGGAAACATAACACTAAAAACTTGGAATCACTCATGCCTTTTCCCCTGGCTTGGGGAATACATAGTCCAGTGCAAAACAGAGAGAGATTTGTGGGTGGTTTTTTATGTCTGAGTATTCCCCTATAGGTGTTATGCAAAGCATGGACTGAATGAGACATTCAAAGCAGTAAGCCTTCTGAAAGACTAAGCAATATTCTGCTCATCCAGTTTAAGTTAAGATCTGGTACAAAATCAGAAATTAGTAACAAACAAGTTTGTCTGCAGTACTCTCTTGTAGTCTGTATGTTGCATATGATGCATACTGATGTACCAAATTACAACTGTTATTTGTCTACTCCAGAAATCTATTTTTGACAGAATTCAGCAGCAGATGCCCCGAAGGAAGTTTTAAGTGCCTCTCAATAGGCATGTATGGAATAACAATCCTCCATGAAGGTCTCATATTAATCCTAATGGATTATTGGATCTTCACTATTGTGAAGAGATCTTATATTTGTGGCAATGAGCTTTACAATCTAATTCTGTGATGAATGAAAAACTCCCCTTTGAACAGTTTTTTAATTTCTCATAGCTCTGTTTAAGCACATCATCTTTATTTGTGTGTAAAGTTTCAAAGAAGGAAGAAAATTTACTTGCTTATTATTTTCTCAATTCTTTAGCATATCCATCCTAAATATCACTTTTCACTGATAATCTAATGCAAGTTCTTCTAGAAATTTTAGAAGGTTTGCAAAAGTGAGAAAATCTACAACATCTTTTTAAAGAAAATTACACAATCAAGACTGTGTTCTAAATGCAAATATACCATCATTCTCAACTACAAAATACTTTGTGGGATCAAGTGCACCCCAAGCAAGTTTGCAGATAACACCAAGCTGAGTGGTGCAGTTGATATGCCCGAGGGATAGGACGCCATCCAGAGGGACCTGGACAAGCGTGAGGAATGTGCCCATGTGAACCCCGTAAGGTTCAACAACGCCAAGTGCAGGGTCCTGCACATGGATCAGGGCAACCCCCGGTATCAGTACAGGCTGGGCGATGAAGGGATTGAGAGTAGTCCTGCCAAGGAGGACTTTGGGATACTGGTGGATGAAAAGCTGGACATGAGCTGGCAGCGTGCGCTCACAGCCTAGAAGGCCAATCCTATCCTGGGACGCATCCAAAGAAGTGTGACCAGCAGGTTGAGGAAGGTGATTCTGCTCCTCTACTCCACTCTGGTGAGACCCCACCTGGAGTCCTGCGTCCAGCTCTGGAGCCCTCAGCACAGGAAAGACATGGACCTGTTGGAGCAGGTCTAGAGGAGGGCAACAAAAATGATCAGAGGGATGGAACATCACTCCTACAAGGAAAGGCTGAGAGAGTTGAGGTTGTTCAGGCTGGAGAAGAGAAGGCTCTGGGGAGACCTTATAGCAGCCTTCCAGTACTTGAAGGGGGATTATAACAAAGATGGGGACAGACTGTTTAGCAGGGTCCCTAGCAGTAGGACAAGGGGTAATGGTTTTAAACTGAAAGAGGGTAGATTTAGACTGGATATAAGGAAGAAGTTTTTTACAATGAGGGTGGTGAAACCCTGGCACATGTTACCCGGAGAAGTGGTAGATGCCTCATCCCTGGAAACGTTCAAGGTCAGGTTGGACAGGGCTCTGAGCAACCTGATCTAGTTGTGAAGATATCCCTGCTCACTGCAGGGGGGTTGGACTAGATGACCTTAAAAGGTTCCTTCCAACCCAAAGATTCTATGATTTTCCAACATACTTCTTCATTCCTTTTCTAGAACACCTCTGCAACTTTGGATCTTCCACTACAAATGAACTTTGAGCTGCAGATCCACTTCCAGAGTTTAAACACTGGAAAGAACATCAGTACCTAGCTCTTCCTTCTTTCACATATTTTCAAATACGTTGTCATAAGATGAATACATAAAATATTTCCTACATAAATTTGAGAAAAAGCCAGGAAACTCAGCTGTCACTGTTTTATCAAAGGACATTAGGAATTCATGTACTTTTTAAAAAAGGATTAGCCCAATTTAACATTTCAGATAAAATTGCCACTGAAGGCAAAATACTGATATTTCAGTAATTCACAAGGTAAACCAGACTCTGCTTTTTCTGTTTTCTTTGTTACTCAGCCTTTTTAAAATAAAAAGGTAAGATTGAAAGAGAATGAGTGTAATACAATGCCTTTCCCTAAAATACATTTACAGGATTATCTCCTATCTATTTGGTAAACAAAAGAATTAATATATCAAATTGCATTACTCATCCATCTAACCCTGTAATCCCACTTCTTGATAGGAATCAGTATGAGACACTCAAAGAGGAGATAAAAGGAACCTCATACTAAGGACCAACAAAATAATACAGAAACCAAAAAGTTTCTTCCCAGGTAACTTTTAATTAAGAGCTAATGTTGCTCTCATTCTTAAGATTGCATATTCTACCCTATGAACAGAGGGATGTAATATAACCATTTCATCATGAGTCGTTTAGCAGCTGTCAAAGATTTCCAGTACTAAATGAAAACGTTTATCTTTACCTCTTTACATTCCTGTTTTACTTTGCAGCAGGCATAATTCTTTTCCTCTAGTGAAACAATATTCATAAGATAATGTTCCACCTATCACTTTCCAATTAACAGCTATTACCTTCATTGTTTGCTTCCTTGTATCTTCATATTAGTAGCTTTTTACTTTTCAACTGTTGTTGAACACAATGGATAATCAATAGTTTTAATTGGAAGTTATTTTGCAAGGAACCACCTCCTTTCCAATTGTTACATACAAAACATTTTACTTACACTAAGCAAAACCACAAGATAAATAAAGGTTTTAAAGCCTATAACGCTGTAAGTTTTTAACCATAGCTTATGAACGTTTTAATTAAAACAAGTTCAGCTCATGTTAGGTATCAGCCCTGGAAACACCTGCAACTATTACCTTCCAGACCGGTTTTCCCAACTGGAATGCTACATTACCACATGCTAGCTTTTACTTACTTATATGACAAGCTTTTTTTCCCCATGTATAGTCTTTAGCTGTCCTAGCATCCTTTGGCTAGTCCATTGTTTCCACTGTATGGGCATTTAGATTCTACATTACTATCCAAATCACAGATGTGTGACAGACCGACCCAAAAGATCTTACAGTGCCTTATTACACACATCCCTTAATAAAACACACAACACAACTTATATCTATATTTTGTTTCTCCAAGCATTTTTTAGAAAAACTATGCAAAGCTACTTCAGATAGGTTTTAAGTAACTCTTCAAGGAGACAGCAACACTGCTCTTCTAGTCTATAGGATCCTGGAGGAATTCCAAGTTCTCATGCCATGTGTAAAAAAAAAAAAAAAAAAAAAAAAAAAAAACACCCAATACTGCATGTACCATGTCATTTCAATGAAAACATTGCCTAAATTTTAGCACAACCTGGGCTCTATACTGGCTTAAGTAAAGGTCTTGCGTCTAAAGATTTAACTCGACACGAACAGACATAAATACAGATTATATCTTTACATTTTAAAATAAATTAGAATACAGTTTCATTTAGAACAACTAATTAGTCATACTGACACTTGCAGCTTGCGTTTTCCAATCAAACAATGTACCAAGAATGTGCATATGCATAAGAAGGGTGAATCAGACTTAATAGAAACAATCAAGAACATCTGTAATTCTGGCAAATGTGCTTGTCTAATTGTATAATGAAATGGCAACATTTGGCAAACAAAAATACACGAATTCAAAACTTAACTTTTCAATTTGTTCCAAGGTCCACTAAAACAACTCTGGCAATGTCACAGAGACCGCTAATGCAAACTACCAAATAGAGATTATTATCCTTGAAAGTACATGTTCTTAAACCTGCACACTACTTAAAAACAATGAAATTGCATGAAATTTGTGATTATACCAGCTATACGAACCAGTTAAGCAACACACACATGATTCTTTTTGCACCATTACCTATCTGTCTGTAGCTTCCAAGTTCGAGTATGCTGAGCTGCATCCCCATGATGCTGCTGGTGCAAATGCTGAGGATGCCGCCTTTGCTGCTGCTCTTGCTGGACTTCTACCCAACAGGGAGGGACAGTGGCTGAAAACCGTGGCGTCAAGGTCTCAAAACGGGTCAGTTCCACCAGGGATGTCAGTGTTTCAAGGGAAAATGGCTGGTCCACCAAAAGATCAACTCCTGAACAATTACAGAACATACATTAATTCCTACACAGAAATTTCTTCCAGAACATCCTATAAATGGTTTGAAATACATACAAACTGTTATAGGTAAAATTAGCTACATGATATATGAAGCTTCTTAGAAACAAAAACAACCCAACAAAAAAACCCAAATAAACAAAGCCAACAAAAACACAAGCAACCAAACAACCCTAGCCTTGAAGCCAGTATCCTTTGAAGACAGCTCATTTGTAATGTCTTCTAAGCACCAACAGCTCTGACCATGTTGTCTGCGGTTCAACCAGAAATATCAGGAAAAAGTAAATAGCCAGCTATACTTTAATGATGTAAAGCTGATTAAAACTTTTTTTAATACCTCTATTAACTCAGATATAAAACTTTCATGTTCTTTTTTTTATTTCATAAAAACAGACATGGAATTACTATGCAATTGTAATGTTTTTATCACTGTTTAAAACATTACTTTGGCACGTGCTTATCAATATAGACTTGTTTTACGGTGGATTACTAGAATGTTTTGGAAGGCTCCCAATTTAGCTTAAAAAACAGCTGAGGGAAAAACAAACATGCTTTATGTAATGCACTTAAAAGACACTGGGCCTAGACAAGTATTTTGTCTTCTTGTCTTCATACTCAAGTCTTGTCCTGAGGAAACAAGGATATTAATTGAAGAAGTACTGAAACTTAAAGTGTCCCAGGGAGACAAACACCTAAAGAAACATTACAAAGGAACTCTAAAAATAATCAGGTTTCCTCAGACACAAAAAAAAATTTGAAAACCTGAGGTAAAATAACACATGCACAATGTTAATTGTCTTATTTTTTGAGCATTTTCTCTTAAAAATGCATTTGGGAGAAAATCTTTTACCTGTGAAGAAATTATGGTTTTGAAAAGGAGAAAGTTTGCTACCTGACTACTACTGTCACCACCCCCGAGGGAAATAAAAAAAACAAACACCAAACATTAAACACACCAACACAAATACCCTCCTCCCAGTGAAGTCTGAGCCTAGAGACTATCTTGCAAAGCAAGCCAGTTTGAAACCAGAATAACAAGATTACATCCTCCAGCTTGAGAGTAGAAAGACACATGCAATTTTTCCCAAAACATGGAGAAGCTCAAGATGAGATACCCAGTCAGGCAAAAAATTCACTCCCACTGCAATAACTATCATTTCGACTTTTCAATCTAGGAGGCAGGAACATGCTGAAAAGATTAGAAATTCAAAATGCTTTATAAATTTAATTTCAGTAATATAGCAAACACCTTTATTTTTACTGCCAAATGTGAACCTCATTAGCTAGATGACACTGCAATGAGAACTGAGATCATAGCTCAAACTGTGCAACAACTCCATCTTTGAGCAGACTTTATTTGTTCTGCTTCATTCTCCCTCCCCCTGCAACAGAAATAATTACAAATTCAGAGTATTCAGAGCAGTCACACGTAACGTTCTATCAATCCCCAAAACTGAAAAATGAAGGACTTAACTTTCCAGTGCTGTCAAGTATACCTGGCTTCTTTTGCAAAATTCCATTATTTTTGTTATATTGTAATAGTGAGTTACTACAAGCGGAAGTTCTAATAACAATCTTGAAAAAAGGTTTTAAACTGGTCAGGAATACTAATATTCTTTTTCAATTAGTTTCTTAAAAAAGCATTATTTTAGATTACTTCACCACAAAAACCCTTTACTCCTTAAAAGGAATTATAATTTTAAGATAATCTAAGATTCATGGCTCAGTAAGGTTAACATATTTCCTTCTAAAACAATACAATTTAAAATGTATCCCAGTTGTAAATCTTATTTTCTAGCCTGCATTTAAGAAACACATTCCAGAATGCCAACAACAAAGAAAAATAAAACACACGAACAAACCCCACAATATACATGAACAATATATGGACAAAAGCTTGTGCTTGTTGCTGTGGTTTCTACCCTGACGACACCATCTTTTAGCTACAGTTTCAGAGGACACCATAGTTATTTCATAAAAACACCCTGCTGCTGCCTGCCATCACCTGTGAATGAGGTGTAGAGATCTAAGACTTTATGCTCAGTCAGATCTGCCTAGAAGTTATTTTCCCCAAAGAGAAAGCTTTCTGTTGAGCTAAGTCTCTGTCTGGAAAACATGTTAAGACAGAAGTGGCAGAAAATGTTTTTTCTGCTGTTTGCGACTTTGATTAAAAGAGGAGCAACACTGATGTTATAGATGTTGGGGGCAACGTCTGATTATGATCCATACACATGCTGACATCTTAATTACTTTCTTTTTATTATTGTGCATTACTGTTTGTACAGTCTTAGCAATCGTTCACATATTATATGCTAATATAAGAATAGCTAATACGAATCCAGTATTATTGACTTTACTATCCTTAACCCGGATAGTTCAGACTAAGAGGTCTGCAACGAACGTTTGGTTTGAACTCTTCCCCCCAGCCCCCTCATTTCAGCACTGGCTTCCTATGACTATTAAGCTTCTCTCACAGCTTTTAGTGGCTCAGTTTGATGCCACAGCAAAACAGTACTCAATTAATCTGATCATTACTGTGTATCCAACAACTGTTTGGAAACCATTACAGACCAAGGTCAAGCAATACTACACTCCGAATTATATGACTACTTAAAGGAGGACCTGCAGCTTGTGGACAATCTAAAGATACAGCTATGTTCAAGTCTATAAGTAAATCCTTTTCTTGTTCCAGTAAGCCATATTCAAGCCTATACTGAAGGCTGGATGGGGAGGAGAACAAGAAAAACAACAAAAAAAATTTGCCCCTTACAGTACCAGCAGAATTTAAACAGTAATGATCATCAATCTGATTCATCAGGTTAATCAAAGTTACCATTTGATTGGAAGTCACTTAAACCTGTTGATAAGCTACTGTACAGGGAATGCAGCTATTGAAGCACATCTGGAACTTCAGGAATGGCTCCTTTGGTGAAAAAGAGGAACAGGCTTCAGTCCTCAACGCAGAGAAAAGAGCAACTGCTGTACTGCTGCTTACAGATAATGTTATGACAAAAAGCATCTTTTCCTTCTCTCTTTTGATCATCTCTTCTGGAGTAAAATCAGGGGTCATAACGAACACAGCACAACACAAAGTGTTACAAGGCTGGCAGCAAGCAAGGGTTTGGGGAGAAAGACAACAAGTAGCCTGTTGACAACAAAGATGTCATCCTCCAAAATGGTTCTTGTACTCCCACTCAGTCCTCTCCCAGCTTTTTTGTCATCTGCAGCTGCAGGCAAAGACACTCCACATCACACACACAAAATTACCATCACTTCTCTCAAATAGTCATAGCTACCTGAATGGTTTATTTCCATTGTATCATTGCTTTATCTTCATGCTTTATATTATTTATTCTTGTATTTTATATCCTAGGTCACCTATTCCCAGTATATCCCTGTTTCTGTCCTAACAGACATGACCAAAACCTCCAAACTCCAGACCAACTAATGTAATTATGCTTTGTGTCGCCTTCAACAATTGCAGGTTTAAAAAAAAAAAAGGAAAAACATAATATAGTTTTACAGCACTCTCAAACAATTCCCTTAAAACTCAAAGCAAGATTACATATATATATACACACACACACACATTTAAAATCTCAGCATGTCTACTCAAATCTTCCTCAGGTTTAACCACCAAATAAGATTTGTTGTTAAGTTTTAATAGCAAGTTATGGACACTACAGCATCTTTGGATGAGGGCTGAGAAAACCTGCACACTTCCTGTTCTCCCTTACAAGCAGGAGGAACCCCTCACATTTTTCCCCTTCTTCCTGACTACACAAGGAACAACCCTCTCACCCAACTTCTTATTTTTCCTAAGTGGGCCAGAATACTACAAAAGGCAGCAGACTGGTGGCAAGACTGGTATGAGAACTGCAGTAAAGATAAGACCTAAACATGATGTTTAGGGTAAAAATATAATTTGGACAATTAGAAACAATTATTTCTCGTTGTCCAAGGGCAAATAACCTTTCCAGGAAGGAAACTAGCAGGTAAATGGCAGCAGAATTTGAGTATATATCAACTCACACAACCCAGCCAAAGTCCAAGAGTTCACATCATAAGCCTGATTTATCAGCAGCAACTGCACTGCTTGAAGTATAGAGAGCACCAGTTTCACTGTGTGCAACAGTAACAGTTGAATACATGTTTTGAACAGTTTTGTTAAGTAGAGCTGTACAGCTTCTGCAGGAAACTTCAAAGCAATTTTACGTAATGAACATATGATTTTAATTCCACATAAAGAGCTCAAGCCTATGTAAACTATGAGGGAAGCTCAGTGCCTGCACCATTACCTGTTTCTCCCTGTCTGCCACACTTAGAATCTCTCCACATGTAGAGACTAGAAAAACAATCAGTTATACAAAAGTGTTGGTTTTGTTTTGGTTTTGTGGTTTGTTGTTGTTTGTGTTTTTTTTGTTTCTTTTTGTTTTTAAATCAGGAACTGCTGAAGTGTTATGCTTGTACATAACCAGTGATAAGACATACAGTAACTATAGAACTCCAACTTTGGGCAGAAAAAAAAGTATAAAGCAGCATGCTATTAACTTAACTCATCTTAATATACAGCTTCAAGAATTTTTTTACTTAGGATACATTTAAACATGTGCAGTTTACCTGTAATGCCTGGACTAGAAGGGTTAGATAAGGGCTTGGTGCCTTCTGATGATTGTTCTACACTTTTGGAAAGGGATCCATCTACGAGTATATCAGCTTCATCTATGTCATCGCAGGTCCCTCCAATCTGAAGGAAATGAAGTTCTCCACCTAGAATCATCATAGACAACAAAAGAAGCAAGTTTAGAAAGGCATACAGCTAAACTCAACAACTGCAAGCCTGTCTTGTGAGAAGAGCTACACAAATTATGACAGTAGTTATGTAGGACCTGAAACCAGTAAGATTATACAGGAATACTCATTTTGCTTCACTACTACAAATTTTTTCATGGTAAATGCAACACAGAACTATAAAAATACTAACTCCAGTTGTGAATGGCATCAAACGAAAAAAAAAAATATTGGGGGGGGTGAAGGTATTTAACTAAGGAATCCTCAATAGGAACGCAAAATCATAACCATTATGACACTTTCCATAATGCAAAACATGCTTTAAACAGAAAATATTCCATCATGTCAACTGAAGGCCTACACTACCTCATTTGTACAGATTACATAGACTTCCTTTTAAAGTTCAATATTTGAGAACTGAAAAATCACTTCCCCACTGAACTCTCCTAACTAAGGGGCTCTTCACAGTATTTCATAAAACCTGGTATAACAACACTGATCAGGTCAACAGCCAAAACAGCAAGTCCAAAATTTTCAAGGGACACAATGTTTTGATGGGAGCTTGAAATCATTCAAGGAAGTTGCCCGTTATTCATCACTACAGATAGAGATAGATGGATTCAATAATTTCCAAAGAAGTCACTGAGAAAGAATGCTCAATCTTACATAAGGTTGAGGGGAAGGGAAGGGCCGTTAACAGTTTTAGAAGTTACAAAAATTCTAATCAGTAGGATTTAAATAGAGAGGAAAATCCTAGGGCAGGCCTTTCACAGTTTTTCTGAAAATTGATTACAGATTGTCCTTCAGCATCTGACTGATGTTATGACAAACCCTGTTATGCAAATTATCCAGGTAATCTGAAATAAACAAACTTGAGATAATACATGTAATAAAAACTCAAGATAAAAGCATGATCAGCGGGTACATTTTCTGCACTGTGGGGGATGAGAGGAATGAAACGGAAAGCGATAGAGAGGCACAGCGAGGCAGAGTGCAAGTGTGTGGGAGGCAGAGACCGCTAGTACAGGGGGTTTTTTTTGGATCTGAGTAAGAAAGGCCTGACAACAAATGGCTTAATAAAACAGCTATTTTAACAAGACAGAATAAAAAGAGGAAAATAGCAGCTCAAATGACCAAACAGGAAGAACCTCACCATGGACAGGCTCTGCGCAGTGTGCTGTGGGAAAATCCACCTGGGGCCTGGGTGATGCTGCACGAAAGCAGGGACGTGAGATTTTTTCACTATCTATATTTCTCCTTTTATTTTATCTTATTAAAACAGCTATTTCATTAAGCCATTTGCTGGTGGGGCCTTTCCCACCGAGATCCAGCAAGAAGCCTGTACCGCCCCGCTCTCAGCCCAAACCCACACACCCCCGGTGCAGAACAGTACATCCTGAGTAGAGCCCAAGACTGGAAGGCAAAAAAATAGTTCTAGCAAATAACACTTATAATGAGTTTCCTTGAAATTAAACAGCTCACAAATGAGCAATTTTCCTCAAAGAGAATTAGGGACTCATTAGAAAACACAGACCGTGACAACTTCATTTCATAATAAGCCAAACCTCAGTTTCTTTCCTGTGCTATTTATCAAATATCAATGATGAGAATGATCTCAACAAGCAAAACCAGAAAATGCCCTGTCCCGGAGTTCACCCTCATGCAATGGAAGTTCAATATACTGACTTGTACCATTCTCCCAGTTTTACAGGTCACAGCAGGAAAAATGCCAAAGAACTTCAGAAAGTTGTGTTTTTTCTAAGGGAAAGCCATGCCAAGGTCTCACTTATTCTGTAAATGGTTGCATAGGGTTTGATTTTGGAGAAACAAAACCTTGGTCCTCAAACCAAGTTTCTGAGTTTCTGTCACTAACTAACAGCAGCAAAAAACATCCTTACCATTTAATCCATAACTACAAGAGAAGAGTTACAATCCCTGCATTCCTGAAAGACTCCAGCACCCTTCCAAGAAAACTTCTGTGCTAAACTTGAGATATCTCACTTCCTCGGATTTGTTTTTTAAAAACTTCTTTAATGAAGTTTATCATGAACTTCAGTTACACAGTATTAGCCTATAAAATTATGAGTGCTTATGCACACTTTCCACAACCCTGCAGGTGGCTTTACTCTTGTACCACAAAGGAAGCATTTGCTCTCATAGGAGATCCAAAGATGATCTTCTGATAATGCATGCTTAATTATTTGTTTCAAAGATACCACAGATCCTATAGTCAAGTGGCAGGGGGGAAAAAAAAAAATTTGATCTGTGTAAAAAAACAGCAGCACTGACTTCCCTGTCCCCCCCTTCTTACTACTGGCTCATGTTATTCACTAGTAGGCTGCAAGTGACTCATCTGGTGCTTTCCAATTCTAGGCAGGTAGCAAACGTTCTAAGTAGTAGTTTATCTGAAGACTTCTCTGCTTGCATCACTTTGACAGAGATGATAAATGCTTCTGCTGTATTACTAAGAAGATACGAAAGCTGCTACTGACTTACTGAGTGATCACAAAGGAGAATAATTGGAAACCAGCATCATTATACTTCACATGTTCAAAGGTAACACATTGAAAACATTGTCAATTTAATCATGAATTGTATTTAAAATCTGTAATTTGCTTGGACTCAAGAACCTGGTGGGTTATACAAACAGAACATACGAATCGTAAGACCATCCAAATAAACCCCAAGCTTCCTTCTGGCAAAACAGTTACCAGTTCCAGGAAAGCAGCACTGGCACCAGCTAGAGAACATGTCAGAGACTAGGCCACTACAGTCAAAGCCAATCTGGTGAAATGTTTGGTGTCCTGAACATACCCTGCACTCTGGCAGGAGTCTGGAGGAGTGACACAATGGTCAGAGCAAATCGTAACACAAGGACACAGTTGAACAATACCCACATAGTTAAAGAAATTAAGAAAACAAAGCCGTAGCACAGGAAACTATCCACTAAACTTCAGAATTCTCCCTGACTCACCACTGCCTGTACAGAAAGGGTTAGCTCTAAACTTACTAGCTCAGAACACTTGAAAAATGTCCTCAAGAAAGCTTCCCCAAAACCTCACTCCAGCAGAATTTAGACTATTCTTGGAGATTTCAGCTGTAAAATGCCATCCTGCCTTATGAAAAAATAGAATGCAACTGAACAGGGACATGTGAAAGTTACTACGCCTAGCAAGAAATAATTAAATGCACTATTATGGGATGAAGAAAAAACAGCTAGCCAGCAGTTCTGTAAAAGAGGCTCATGTGAGTCAGAAGATAAACCTGATTCAATTTCCTGCTCAAAAGTGCAAACATACCACTATGTATACGCACACATGGTATGTACAGACTGCAGAGCTGCTAAGGAATTCTTGTGTTCCATTCAAAGACATCTGTAGGAGTACTGTGCCTGATTTTAGGTGTCTCATCAAGAAACAAATGGAATGACTGGAGCAGGTCTTTTGGGAGAGTAAGGCTTTTTTTTTCTTTCAAAGCCCCTGAGAAAAGTTTAAAAGGACCGGAGCTTAAGAAAACAAATGGTTGGAGGAGGACAGTACCTAAATAAACTCTGTCTTCCCCTCCCTTTTTGAAGCAATCTCTTTGCCATGTTCATAAAGCATAGTACAACAGTAATAACTCCAATCACCAAAGATGATAACAGGCTAAACACTAGAAAAAAAAAATAATCATCAAGGACAGCATGCAGTAGAAGAAATTTTGTGACTAGGCTGTTAAAACTCCATCTTGAGGATCTTCAAAAACAGGCTGATCAGGACTCCCGAATAGGTAAATGCAATTGATCCTGATTTGAAGATGATCTCTCAGCATCACTTCCAATGCTAATTCTGATGTAGAAAAAACTTAACCTCTCACCAGTCTCATGAGACCCCATTGCCTATGAGGGCAGAAAACTGAATACACTGAATTGATTCCTAAACTTCAAATACATCAGTAAGCAAGGCTGACAAAGCCTAATGACATGGAAGAGACAAATAGGATAGGCAAACGAAACCAGAAAAAAACCCTAGAGAGTAATACATTGTATACAACTCAGGAGCAAGAAATCTGTTATAATTGGAAGGTACAAGATTTGAGGGAATCAATTCTCAAATGTATGAAAGTACCAACCAGTTCTGCCAGGCTTGCAACAAGAAATACTGGCATAGACAACTCACTTTTGACATACCAAACTCCAGTCTGAAAAAAAACACTTTATCCAACAAAGGGGAGCAACTAGAAAAACCCTTGTTATAATGCAAGACTGGAGGCAAGAATTTAGGAGAATTAAGTATATAGAAAATAACATTAAAGAAAGAAAAAACACAAAACAGACACCTAAAGAAAAAAGTGCTTATAAATGAAAGTGTAAAGCAATCAGTAAGATACAAATGTATGTGATGGGTTACTTTTCAGTGTTCGTGGATTTCGTTTACAGCTTCCAACTCTGACTAATTCAGAAGTAGACAATATCCAAAAGAACTGATCCAATGTGATCACAGAATGAGGGAATCTTAGAATCTTTGGGTTGGAAGGGACCTTTTAAGGTCATCTAGTCCAACCTGCAGTGAGCAGGGACATCTTCAACTAGATCAGGTTGCTCAGAGCCCCATCCAACCTGACCTTGAATGTTTCCAGGGATGGGGCATCTACCACTTCTCTGGGCAACCTGTGCCAGGGTTTCACCACCCTCATTGTGAAAAATTTCCTCCTTATAGCTAGTCTAAATCCACCCTCTTTTAGTTTAAAACCATTACCCCTTGTCCTACTGCTAGGGACCCTGATAAACAGTCTGTCCCCATTTTTGTTATAAGCCCCCTTCAAGTACTGGAAGGCTGCTATAAGGTGTCCCTGGACCCTTCTCTTCTCCAGGCTGAACAACCCCAACTCTCTCAGCCTTTCCTTGTAGGAGAGATGTTCCATCCCTCTGATCATTTTTGTGGCCCTCCTCTAGATCCTCTCCAACAGGTCCATGTCTCTTCTGTGCTGAGAGCTCCAGAGCTGGATGCAGTACTATAGGATCTAGGAATTGCTATTTGTGAGAATCTGATTATGGAACTTCAACTGCAGTTGGGTCTTTTTGTCTGTAGGCTCTGAAGCAATACAGGCAGAAAAAAAGAACTGCTTGAATGAAAAAGCACTAGAGTTCTTCTTTCTGATGATAAAAACAAGTAGTAAAACTTTTTTCCCCTTGCTTTTCCTCAAACTAGTTCCAAATAATAATTAAACTGAAAATATAACTAAATAAATTTAGGGAACTACTGAAGAACCACTTCTTAAAAATCAAATTAATTTTCTGTTGAGAGATTTTTTTGCTAGATGTAATGCGAAGACAAATATTAGCATTTTCAACGAGACTCAGTAAGGAAATGATTTACTGTAAAACCTTCACTCACACACATTCAAAAACTAGATTTTTGCAATAATTAGATTGTAGATTTTAGGTGAGCACAATCCAGGAATGTTTCACTCACTAGAAGGAACTCTAGCACTCAAACAGATCGCACAGATTTTAGCACCTACTCCATCAGACAGTCTGGGCGAAAAGTAGCTGCTTCACCACAACACCCTGAACATTTCTGCTTCTCGTAGCATTTGTTTGAAATGCCACCTCACTTTCCTACTCAATAATATTTCTTCAGAGACCTTCAGACACTGAAGTTTGTAACTTGACAAGGGAGAACCATCAGTAGCAATGAAAGACAGAAAACTGACAATTCTTAATGATCCTTTAAAAAATACTCCAAGAAACACAAGTATGCACAATTTTCAAAACTGCCAAAACAAAACACAAGCAGAGATTTGCACCTTTATATCAGATTTAAAAAGGAACATTTCAGATATGTCCATTTTTCCACCTCATTCCATATTCTAAAGCAAAGTTCAACAAAATTGCCTGTATGGCAGCTAACCACATCTAAGCAGCTAAATTGAGGAAACAAACCAAAACAAACCCAAAAAAAGAAAAAAGTAGAACATATGCTGCAAACTGTTTTCTTAAGTAATTTTTGGTAGGACTGCAATTTAAAAAAAGAAATATAATTCAATGAAAACTGAGAGGTAAAGAAAGTGGTGACAACTATAACTCTGGAAATCTATGCATCCAAACCACACTATATCTGATCCTCTTAAACACCAGATAACAGGCTTCAAATATCATCAAAAGACCACCCTGCAGCTGTAACCCCATTCAAAAACAATACCTGTCAGGCTACTGCAGAGTTTTATAACAAAGAATTTACTTATTTTGAATGCTACAAAAGCAGAATTTAAGCTGTTTTATATTAATGACACAAGACAAAATGTTTAAAACCGCCATATGATAACGCACAAAGCACTACTGTAGTCTATTAACTACGGTCTATTAACTGTAGTTTACCTTGGCCAAGGGGAAGAGAAGAAAGCAAAATACAAAGAGATTAAAGTCCACTAAGTTTGCTTAACAGAACTGGAACCAAGAATATACTTATACTTGCACACTTCTCCCCAGAGGTCAACTTCAGAAACAGAGAAGCACCTGGAGCTGACACCAAGAGGTAATGTTTTGAAGCGGGATAGGAATAATTATTCCCAATTCGAAGTTGCATGATGGTGAATACAGGTCTAAAGTATCTTTACATAAATCCACTCAAAACCTGAAACACCCATTCGTGCAAAGGTTTCTTGTCAGTTATATATCAAAGGCAGCTTGGAGAAAAATTATATATTCTACCAATGAAAATAATGTCAACAAGCAGGAGCAGCAGCAAAGAAAAAGGCTATTCTGCATCCAAAACTTTCAGACATTAAAGTACCTCTTTGCCTACTCCCACCATCCCAACAAGTAAATAGGAAAGAATATACTGCTCAGCTTATATCCTTAAATAGTTTTCCAACAACATCCAAGCATTTCCAGTGCATGTAGGGTCCAGATCTTCCACTTACTTTTCACTTATGTCTTTGCACTAGAAGTTACTTGCTAGAACCACTAACGTTGAATACATCAGTGAATACAGCTATTCTACTTTCAACACATACCTTCCTAACGCTGTCAGACTGCCGGCACCATTCCATATGTGGTAGTAAATACAGAGGAGCAAAGACCTCAAAGTGATTTTGGAAGAAGCCCAAGAAAAGTGCATTTAAGAAAAAATACTAATAATTTTTAAAAATATCTTCAGCCACCTAGCAGCTAATCGAGCAATTTTACCCACTTATAGCCAAAAAATTAAAGGATTACTATGCTTCAACACAACAAAAACTATGCAAAGCCTATTCCTTATATCAAGTTATTCAAATGTACAACAAGATATAGGATAAAAAAGGTATATTAATAGTTGAGCTTTTTTATTTGCTTTTTCTATTAGTATTTCTGAATTTTATGCAGTACAGTTATTTATAAACATTTAAGATCAACTCATTCCTTACAAAGCTTCATATTTTGGTACAAACGTAGGAGACTGAGGCTTCAGATGTACCTAGTATCAGACACTGAAATCCAGACTTCTAACGGACATTGGTCCCTAAATATTTATGATGGCTTTGGGCTTAATATCTCAAAAATGAGAAAAATTATACCAGGATAAGTGACTGAAATGTTAAAAAAGGAACAGAAATTGAAAGCTTCTAAAGACATTTAAGCAACAAATTCTGAAGTTCATTCTGACTTGGTTGCAGAGCAGAAAATCAAGTTCCAAATAGAGGTGCAGTGGGCGTAAATAAAAGGTAAGAATAATCAATGGATAAAAAACCCCAAAGAGTTATCAAAGTACTATATTCAAAAGAAGAAACTTGAAGGCAGAGGGATACCTGTGACATCTAGGACTACAGAAGAAAAAACCCATAATCTCGGTCATCTTGAAGGCAGCAAGAACAAAAGAAGTCATGGCAAAGCTATTTATAAATTACTAGATGGATATTATAACATACTCAGAGAGAAAAAAATACAGATATTTACTGAAAAAGCAGAATGATATGCTTGTCTATTACGAGGAAGATGATGTATTCTCCAGTCAGTAACAGAGATGGTCGTTATCTAGGCAGAAGAGGCAAATACTCCTACACACACAGAATAAATGCTCCAAACTCAACAGACCTGCATATCTTTCACTCAAGGTCCCAAAACAGGTTTAGGTAATGCCAAACGCTAAAAGAATATAATTATCATACACACTAATGCTGGATGGGAAAGTATTGTGCACATTAACAATAAGACCTTTAACTTTTATCACTAATCTTAAAACACAAGAAAGACAGAATAGATTTGATGTAAGAAAGAATTAGTATTAGTACAATTCTGGAGAAAAAACCTTAGCAAGGTCTGGGTTTTGTTAAATTGAGACTGCAGTTTGATCAGCAAAGTATAGGTAAAAAAAATTATGACATGGACACAACAGTTATACTAACAGTTTCCAAAGGCAATTAACCTTTCAAATAACCATTCTATTTTAACTAGGAAAAAGCATGCATTTTTAAGTAAAGCTAAACCAGTTTAAGACATTTCTTCAATAGCAGTTACCAAAAGAGAACATTTTAGTAAATATGAATGTTTCCATTGAGAATCTGCAGATATAAACACTAGTTGCTAACACATGATGTTTTCATCCATACAAAAAAAAGCATATCTTAAGTTCTCCACCACTAAAACTCTTGTTAGCTAAGTGATAAACACAGGTCCCTTCTCAGACATGAGATTTCTACAATAAACTTGACTTTATCTGTTGGAAATAACAGATAAATCTGATTTAACAACGGCTCATAAGCGGACTGTGTAATCAACATGCCACCACTACAAAAGGAGGAAATGTGTCAATTTAAATTTTTCTAGTAAAGTTCAACATGTTATTGGTGGGAGTTCATTTGAAACGTGTGAACCATCCCATCAGCTTAGCCCCTCTGAGAGGCTAAGCGTTTCCATCAAAGCTGCATTCAAGTGCAGGAGAACTAAATGAGACATTGGTGCACAGAGGAACTCCACTGGATGACAGCCAGAGCTGTTTCCACTGCCCCAAGGCGACACAAGGAAGTGGGGAGGTGTGTGGTGGTTTTGGGATTTCTATGAAATAGCAGTTGCCTGGACTTGAGTTACACTCCCCTCCTACCTGCCCCCTCCCCCTCAAAATGCCTTCTGTTTATTTTGAAAAAGATTTAACAATCCTGGTAATCCAATGGATAGTCTGCCGCTCATGCTCAAAGACGTGTAATCCCAATTGAAAAAGGCTGAAGCAGAACCAGCAGCCCTATCTGAAAGAAAATAGAATTGACCACTGGAATAAGGCATAAAAGCATTATTCTTCTCTAGCTTCTCGAGTATCACCAATTACAGACAGGAGACATTTTTCTGAAACGTGGCTCTCTAGCACAGGAATTATTACATACAGGAATTACTTTTATTTGTTTTGGATTTAAGAAAAATCAGTGCCTCTACAAGAACAAATTTACCAGTATGTCGGACATACCCAAGAGTTATTCCCATTTTAGAGATTAAAATCTACATTTAAGATGAGGATTAACTACAGTCCATGCTCCCTCGAACAGAATTAAACCATACATAAATTCAACGGAATTTGCCTGTTACTATTTTGAAACTTCAATTCTAACATTCTGTAATATAATCCAAATACAGTCAAATCAAGCATTTTTTTTTTTTTTTTTAAGAAGAGTCTTACCTTTGGTGCATGCACATAATCTGTCTGTGCCCGAACAGTATATCACAGAGACAAACATATCTGGTTCCTCAGTGCCCTCTTTTTTAGGTGGCTCCACTTTGGCCAGAATTTCAAAGTTCGAAAGATCTAGTATTTTTACATATCCTCCCTGAGTAGTTATTACCAGGTGCCCAAGAGTACAGATCTCGGATCTTCTCTCTCTCCCACTGCCATTTTTAGAAGTTAATTGTATTTCCTCTACAGGCTCCTCACAGTCATCCTCTCGATTATCCAATATATCTGGTGGGAGCAAAATCATTGAGGTAATTGTGTCTTGGGGATCTTTGATATGCTGGATTTTTACCGGTTCCTCCTCTAGAGTAACTATTCTAGTGGCATAATTCATCTTATAAAGCACTAGGTATCCACCACTAACACTCCTCTGTTCAGGTTGAATTATTAGAGGGGTTGGTACATCTGCTGGTGACTCATGTTGGATTACATCAATGCTCGTGCCATTCACTACAGCAAGACTTGATTCTAGTTCCCCCTTCCTTCTATTACATAGTGCCGAGTTTAATTTATTTAAATTATTCAAGGCCTCTACTTGATTTATTGCACTCAGAGATTCGACAGGACAAGTCCGCAGTCCTACTAACAAATGAACTCCATCTGCACAAGGCGTGATTGAATCTACACACAGGTTCTCCTCCTCTGCAAACTTTGGCAGACGCAGGCACTGAACCAAAGTCCCAGGCTTAGGAACCATAGAGCTCCACTTGTCCGAGTCCGGAGAAGTTAGGTTGGCTGCAGCATCTGCAAATTGTTGAATATAAGTTACAGGGGGATCCTGTAACAGCAACTGTTCCTGACTGTCCAGCTCCATTTCAATGATCTGTGGAACTGTGAAACCATCATCATGTATACTTTTACTCATAATATTGTTCATCTGTGAAAAGAGTTTTCCTGCTTTTTCATCAGACTCCTTAATGCTGTATAGCAGCAATACAGGTAAAGTCCTCCTTACCAGAGGGGAATTCAGTTCTGAATTAGTGCAGGATTCATTGTCAGTTGATCCCTGCTCTGAGACACTCTCACCTCGAGTCCTACTTAAGCCATCCAGTGACCTCTGAGAGTTACTGCTAACAGGAGAGGTAGCAGGTGATTTGTATGTTAATAGGCCTCCAGCTAATAAACAAGGAAAGGGAATGTTGTGTTGTTCTAGATGTTTTTCCTTCATCTTTTCACTCTTACAGTTGGCCAAACAGGGATTTGCCCCAAGTTCTTCTAGATCCTTAACCGTGTCTTCCAGAACATTTGCAACAATTTCCCACTGAAGTTTTTCAGGTTGCTGAAGAATGCTGAGAGCTGTTATATCAAGGCTGACTTCCATGGTTTCTTTTTGTGATGTATGCCCTTTAAAACAAAAATGTTTAATATAATCTATGTTCAATAAAAAGGAATCATATCGGACTTATCCGCATAATTAAGCAAAAAAAGTCACTGGTCTACAGTTTCAATATATTAAAACATTCCATATGCTCAAGATTTGATAGTCAAGAAACAAGAAAAGAGGCCCAGAATTCTATTCCTGCCACATAGACTAATGGTTCTCCTAATTTTATCAGCAAGAGTGAAAGTAAAGAGAACAGGACATTAGCCTTTGTAACAAGTCTCCCAGTAAACAGCGTTATCTTTCTACCAATTATTTTACTTGGCTAGACCACCATACTGAAATCCAACCAATCTAATAAACTCAAATCATGTTCTGCCATATATTATTCCCCTTCCTACCTAGACAATCTAGTGCCATCAAAAATCTGCAATTCCAGAGCTTCATTCTCCAATCTTAATTGAAAAACATGTCATTTTACTCTAAAATTTGACACTTCCCACCATGTAACAGATCACCTTATTAGAAACTTAAAGCTGTTAGAAAACAAAACCCAGTAAGAGACACTAAAAATTAAGAGATAGCCTGATCAAATTAAACAGTACTGCAAGAATAATTGAACTGTTCTGATTCATTGTTAAGTAACATAAAGATTACAAAGGACACTGTACAAACCCACATTAAGAGGTGACAAGCAAAAATGACAGAGCACCATCTTTGCTAATACTTTTGTTGAAAAAAAAATCCTTTTTACATCTCAAGCCTATTTCCTTGTGTGTATGCACATGCGCATGTTCTTTTTTTCCCCCATTTGCTGATCTCAAAGATGTAATCTGGATTATTGAAAATAAGTATGTAATCCTCCCTCCCATCAAAATTCCCGATTGAACCCCTAAGAAAATAACACAAGAACACCATGCATAGCACTGTTCTGCTTCCATATGAAAACTTTATTCAGGAACAGAAATACTCTATCAAAGTGCATACCCACAGGGAAACAATCAAGATACAGGAGCTCTCTCTGGCAATCATCTGCATTTAAAGAGTTTGTACAGCTATGATTTGTTCCTGTTCTAAGTAAATTATTTTAACTTGGTTTGTGTGTTTTATTGACAGGAAAATAAGCAATGCTTGTTGTCAAATAAGACATTTATTAACAAACAAAGTAGAGTTTTTCTTTTCTCCTGTAAAAAATCTCTTCACTACACAGTGACTTAAATATTGGCATTGCTTTCAGGGTAATTTTTTTTTCTTTTTTCTAATACAGTGAATATAATATCCTTTACTTTTGACAGAGCTTTTTTAGAAGCCTGAGAAGAACAATTTCCCTCCTGATCTCTAAAATATTACATGCATCAGAGATAACCTACCTGTCACAGATTCCGATCTGGAATGCTCTTCACTGTCTGAATCCTCCAGAAGGTCATCACTGAAAAAAAATTATGCATGAATGACACCATGCACACTGTACCTGCATTCTTATTTTTTAATTAAATTAAAAAAAATAGTAAAAAAATATAATGTGTATTATAATCTGGCATTTCTTTTAGTCTGCATCGTACATCCATGGATGAGTTGGTCACAGACACTAACAATACAAAGACTTTTTTTTTCCCCATCATCGAACCAGTAGGCCAGCTTTCCATTTGCTTCATTCTACTATTGTATTCCCAACAATTCAGACATAGATGGAATTAAAATGAAAGCCAGATCTCAGGAAATCTTTCCAAGAAAAACAAAACCTCTAAGAACTGATGACACCTTCTTCAAAGTTCCTCAAAATAGTCTCAGAAAAGTGGAGCTGCCAGACTGGTCTTCAATTCTACCAAGGCGATTCTGTAGCTAGTACAGAAAGTGTGCATGAACAGTGTGTTGCTTTTAAAAATACTACCAGATAAATCATTTTTTCATACAGTCAAGTTCTGTTCAAGATACCTCATGAAGAGAAATAGGGCCTTCAGTAGTTCTAAGAATCATAGAATCTTTGGGTTGGAAGGGACCTTTTAAGGTCATCTAGTCCAACCCCTCTGCAATAAGCAGCAACATCTTCAACTAGATCAGGTTGCTCAGAGCCCCATCCAAACCAACCATGAATGCTTCCAGGGATGAGGCATCTACCACTTCTCCGGGCAACCTGTGCCAGGGTTTCACCACCCTCATTGTAAAAAACTTCTTCCTTATATCTACTCTAAATCTACCCTCTTTTAGTTTAAAACCATTACCCCTTGCCCTACTGCTAGGAACCCTGATAAACAGTCTGTCCCCATCTTTGTTATAAGCCCCCTTCAAGTACTGGAAGGCTGCTATAAGGTCTCCCCAGAGCCTTCTCCAGCCTGAACAACCCCAACTCTCTCAGCCTTTCCTCGTAGGAGAGATGTTCCATCCCTCTGATGATTTTTGTGACCCTCCTCTGGACCTGCTCCAACAGGTCCATGTCTCTTCTGTGCTGAGGGCTCCAGAGCTGGATGCAGGACTCCAGGTGGGGTCTCACCAGAACAGAGGGGCAGAATCACCTTCCTCAACCTGCTGGTCACACTGCTTTGGATGTGGCCCAGGATACGGTTGGCTTTCTAGGATGTGAGTGCACGTTGCCAGCTCACGTCCAGCTTTTCATCCACCAGCACCCCCAAGGTCTTCTCAGCAGGGCTGCTCTCAATCCCTTCATCCCCCAGCCTGTACTGATACCAGAAGTTGCCCCAACCCATGTGCAGGACCCTGTACTTGGCCTTGTTCAACCTCATGAGATTCACACGGGCCCATTTCTTGAGCTTGTCTAAGTCCCTCTGGATGGCATCCCGTCCCTCAGGCATGTAAACTGCCTGAATATATGAATATAAGACTATATGAAGTTTTTATGCATCTGGCTTTTCCAATATAAAGAACAATTTCCTATTACAGGCTCTTTAGACACAGGAAGCACAGCAGTGCCTTTGCAGATTCAGGTGTAACTACTCACAATACCAAGTCAGATCCCCAAATTTCTACAAACTGAATGCTTCCTCCTCACACCCAAGAAACAGATCTTTTTTGGCTCAAACCCGATCAACCTGTTCACTTTATGACAAGACAGTGACAATTCAATACTTTGATTCTTATCCAGTTTCCTCTTGAGTGAGAAAGTGATAATAAATTTCATATAGATTAAGCGAAGTGAAAGATGCGTAGTCCTGAGCAGAATGACTGTATTATCCTTTAACCTGCTCTTAAAATTGGCTCAATTCTTTAACTCTCAAGGAGTTTACAGTCCTAAAGCTACAGTAAAAGTCTAGGTCCCAGCAGCTGTTAGGCCCCAGCTCTGATGTTGCCCACATTTCTACATACTCTCTTCAGAAGGGCAAGCTTCGTATTTGCTCTGCAGTACTGTCAGGAATCACACCAAGCTTAAAACCAAAGATTTACTTTCCTGTGCAATGTGGCAGTACTGTTACTTTACATGATGCTGAAGTTTAAGAAGAAACATTCAGAAAACTAGCAAGACTCCTCAAACACCTTCTGTCCTGCGTTTTCCAGCAATTACTCACTCTTTTGTTTGAGTTTTGGTAATATAAGAAAGGAGTTTCCAGTAACAGATTGTAAGAAGCCTAAATGAAAGAAAACTGCTTTTTCTCACTGGTTGCTTTCTAAGCGACCTTTATCTAAAAGCTTGTGACAGGACTGTCTTAATTGTTTAGAGTCTGTCTGCATGTGTTAAAGGTACAAAATGAAAGCAATTCCTAGCACATCCACATAATTTATTTTCAGAATAACATAACCAGAAATTACAGACAAGCAATCAGAGAAAAGCATCTTCCAGAAGTCCACAAGTAGCCCTTACTTTCAAAACCTGAAATACACAATCCATAAAATGAAAAACTGTTCCAAAACTTATACTCCTTTCTCTTTTTTCTCTGCCTCTGGAACATCAGCACAGGGTAACAATGAGATTTGGTATATCTC